GGTGATGGGTTGTAATTAGTATTTTGGTGGTAAACATGATGTAATCTATGCAGAAATAGAAGTACAATGATGTACACCTGAAATTTTTACAATGTCATAAACCAATGTTACTGCAATAAAAAATTTAAAAAAAAAAAAAAAGAAGCCTCAACAAATATCAGAGAATTTGAAAAAGTAACGTACTTTTTGTATGCTCATTTTATGAAACTTGGAAAATATGGGAAAGTCTAGAGAAGAGAACAAAAATCACCCACAATTCTACTACTTAGAGATAATTGCTATTCACTTACTGGGTTATTCTCCTCCTCTATATAGTTTTAAATAGAATGAGATCACACTGGAAATAGTTTTTTTTTTTTAAGTCTTGTCTTTTTCACTTAACGTAATAAGCACTTTCCCATGTCATTTACAAATCTTTGTAACCCTTCTATTGGCTACATAATATTCCATCAACTGGATATCCCATAATTTGTTTAATCATTTCCTTATTGTTGAATATTAAGTTGCTTCCAGTTTTCTGCAACCATAAACATCCCTATAATTAACTCTGTGGTACTGTATTTAAGAGCACCTTTCATCCAAGGACCTCAAAGCACTTAAGAATGGTCTAATTTTGCTCTCTAGCCAGTGAGATGCGTAAATAGCATTTTTATTCCTTTTTGCCAGTGATAAATCTCCACTTCTAACCAATGTGTTACCTGGAGATGTTTTATTCACAGTCAAGGCAGTACCTACCCCCTTCTTTTGCTCCCCTGCAGACAGATCTGACTTTCCCACCATCTCTGACTACCACACATTGCTACAGGCACCTTCTGGCTTAACCTGAGGCAAGCTCAATTTCAAAGAGCTAGAACACGCTCATCTGGGTGTGATCTCTGACAAAGCCAGCAGCCTCTCCCCCCAACACTGTAACTTGTGCAAGTGTTCCGTAGGAAGATGCTGCCATTCTTCAAAGCTTGATAATTCATTTGACACTCGTTTCACGTGTATGTAATTTCTAAACATTGGGATGTTAAATTAATATTTCCCTGTAATTTGTGTTGCAGAGGAAATTTGGGTAATTATTTTTATCCTTCTATTTTTTAATTACAAAATTATTTAACAACTTCTTTTGAAACACCAAATGAGGCTGAGTAAAGTCAACATGGTTCACTGAGTTTGGCAAGAGAAAAGCGCAAAAATCCAATTGTGCATTTCAGAAATGAAAATGGGATACTGTAATGCTTTGGGGAGAACACGACGGCTCTTCTATCTAGTTAATTATGTCATGAACGGGGCATTGAAACCTGTTCCCCTGCTTGTTTGTCATTTGATCTTCTGCCATACAGTGATTCACTTAATTGTCTTTTCACAAAAGCATTAGTTCATTTCCAGGAGAGAAGTGTTTCTGCCTCTCTTTCCTCTTTAGTCTGTCTGTTCCTTCCTCCTCCAACCCCCACCTCTGTCCAAACCCCTGCGTCTCCCTCTGTCATTCTTTCTCTCAAACACCAGTGACTGTAGTTAAAGGATGATGGAAGTGGGTAACATGATGACCATTGTGACCTTTACCGTTTCCACTTTCTCAGCTCCCGACTCCACCTGAGCCATTACCAATCATCCAGGTTTCCAGACAGGTTGTGGAACTTGGCTGTGAAATGTACCTGTTCTGGGAGTCAGCTGGTGAGATTTTACCATCCCATTCCTCAAACACCCTCAGGCACTGCTCTTCTCTCAATTTTGGTGCCCACTTCCGACTGCTCCACTGCTCCAAACGGGGGTGGGGCGAGAGGGGTGGGAGGCAGGAGTGCAGCTTCACTTAAGGCTGTCAGCCCCTCTGCTTTGCATTCCCCTGGGGAGAAAAGAGGTCCTCAAGATAGCCTAACTATCTCACTTCCCCTCTTAAGGAGTAGAGGTGGGTGGTTAATAACAATGGCTAAAATGTGTAGAGAGTGTAATGACATAGTATAGGGAGTCGTACATAGCGAGTATGCTAGGGCATGTAGAGACTGTTACCATCCCCAGTTCATGGACAAGGGGATGAGGCAGAGAGAGGTTAAGTAACTTGCCCACTGTCCTACAGCTAGTTAACTGGTGGAGCTGGGATTTGAACCCATGCCTGTGACTTCAAGGCCCAAGCATGCTTCACCAGTGGGACCAAATGCTGGTGGTAATTTCCTCATTCCTTCATTCAACCGAGAGATATTTATTGAGCACCATATATATATGCTGTGCCATGTTCTCGTGCTGGGGAGTCAAGGGTGAGTTTAAAAAGGTCCCTGGCCTCCAAGAACTTGCAACCTGGAGGAGGAAGCCAATAAAAAAGGATGAAACCGCCAGATGTCAGAGCTGCTGGGGAAGCCTCTAGGGTCCCCTGGGAGGCACGGCAAGTGGGCACCCTAGAGGATGAAGACCAAACTCTACCCCAAACTCTGTTATGGCCGCTCTTCTGGCCTCTTGTTCAGCGAGATGCCCATGACAGGCTGAGAGATTCTGGTGGTGACTTACTTCCCCTGGCGTCGCCGGCCACCCGGGAGTGTAATCTGAACGGGAATGCTGAATGGCTGCATGAGACCAGGGGGCTGGGAAAATGGTCTCCTTTCACCTAAGTCATGGCCTCTGAGGGCGCAAGATGAAGCTTAAGCATCAACAGAAGTGGTGTCCCAGAGGAAGCCACCAGTCCCCGGCGCAGGCAGCCATCAGAAGCACCGGCACCTGCAGAGCTGCCACCTGGTGGTGTGCGGTGCCTGCTTTCCTGGAGAGATGGAAAGTCGGGGCAGGCCAGCCGGGTGGCTCTGCAGATTCCCGGCAAGGCGGAGCAGTCAGTCCTAGATGCTCAAGAAGACCCTGCGTGGTTTTCTGCAGCTAGAACTTCTCCCCATGGTCGCCCAGCGCCTGCGGCCGCCCCGTCACCTGTGTTCCACTTCAGCAGCCGGGTGCATCGCCCTAGCGACCTAAACCCTTGTGGAAAGTTCTGAGCCCCAAGGGACCCTGTGTAATTGGTGAGGGCCGTACTCAGTTCAAGGTTTATAAAAAGAGGAAATGTTTTGCACTGACTGCGTTTCCTTTTTCACAAATTGTCTGTTAGAGGGCAAGCTTAGAGAATGGTTTTTTCTGGTTAATTTCATGTTCCAGTTAAGAGAATTAGTTTTCAAAGTCCGTAAAATAACTCACCATTAAAACTATATCAAAGTTTTTTTTAAAAACTGTATCAAATATCATTTTATCCCTCTTTGATAACCTACAAGACATTTGGGGATTTTTCTATACCCCCAAATCCTGAACATCAATTACCATTAAATCATAGTTTACTGAAATGTGGATGATAGAATGTCAGATAGCCCACTTTGGCTCCATGTTTTTTAACAAAGGTATGAACATTTTCCAAAACGTTGGTGTGAGCAAGAACGTAAGCATAATGTTGTCTATAAGCATCCATGTATATATAGCCATAACTGTTACTTACAGCTATTTTAATATTATTTAATGAAAAATATGTATTTATATACTTCTGATTTGTATTATTTTTTTATATGAGTTATGGACTAGGTCCTTCGTAAACCATTTGTTTTTAATGAACTGATGTAATTTGGATTAAAAACTGATAACAACCAGAATTTTTTCCTTCTGCCTACCAGTAACTTAACCTTGAAAATATATAATTTTTTTTTCAGATTTAGATGTGCTAATAAATTCCCCTGCCAATTTCATATGTAACTCTTTGAAGAAGTGAATAATTTGTTACTAGTTTTATGTGTTTGATTCAATCTCAGAAATATGGTAATTTTTGAGCCTGTGAAACCCCTACTTGGAGCTCAGAATTTGCACCTGCCTTTTCTGGGGCTTCCTGGTCATTCCTCTCTTCTGATTCTAGTTCCGTTTATGTGAAAATACTCATGCACAATCTTTAAAAATTCATCTTAAAAGGGTATGAAGAGAGAAGGTGAGTTATTTCAAATTACTTTTAGTCTCAATTCAAGAGTTCTGATAGGCCCAGACAGGTTGATCTTGGGGCCTGGACAGGTCTGGGACTGGATATGTCTTAGGTGTAGATGCCACAGTTGGCCATATGAGATTGATCTCAGACCAACCTGTGCTTTGCCTTTTCTTCCTTTTCAAATAGGGCCAATAAGACAATGGAGAAGGAGTAACATAACCTGTTGCCCTTTGATTTTCCTCCTGGTGCCCCTTCCCTTGGTAACTGACTAGCCTCTCTGTCCACCAATACCAGACCACTCCCCTCTGGCCCCTACAGCAAGTCCCCTACACATACATACTCTACTCAAGGCTCACACCCTATCTCTCAAGAACATAGAGGGTCAGTATGAATTGCAATCCCAATGTGTCCGTTCAGGAACACAGCAAGCTAAGACAGAAGGAGTGTGATGGTGAGAGACGCCAGGTACACATGCCTCCCCACTCTTGGTCCCCTGACCCTTCGTGAGCTCCCAGCTTACTCTTTCCTCTCAGAGTTGCTAGAGATCACTTCCTGCCCCACAAAACATCAGCCATGAGTCAACTGTCAAGCCCACCATGTGAGCCCCCTCCCTTTCTGGGACAGAGGCTTTGGGTACTGGGTTCAAATCCCAGCTTTGTAATTTCAAGTAACCTTTTAAACATTCCCTGCCCTGGTTTTCCTCAATAAAAAGAGAGGAAATAAAACTCAGTGTGAGCTGTATGAGTATGATGAAACTTAATTAGTGCCCATAAACTGTTGTGAGATCTGTAGATGAAAGGAGATGTTATTGCAAAATGCTGCCATCATGGATTCCTGGCTCCAGAGTTCACAGTCATTTTCATCTCTCCCTTTCACCATGCTGGAGAAACGACTTCCTCATTCTTTTTCACATTCTCTCAATTACACACCACCTATTACAGCTAAGAATTCTTTTGTAGCTGAAATTCTCCATGTTCATGAGAACTATATCTCTCTTTTCAGATTTAGAGATGCACAAATCATTTACAACCTAAAAACTATATAACAGCCTATGTTTTTTGTCTCTATGTATTTGTGCGTAGGAGAACAAATAAACCCCTACCTGAACCATCATTTCAGTATGAGTAGTTTTTGCTGATGCAAGCAACAATTTAAACTGTCAGAAGTAAAGTCATATCTGATCTTACATTCTCTTTGCAGGAGAAAAAAAAACAAACAAGGGAGTATGATTTGCGCCATGAACTTATGGAGTCCTGGCTGGGATCTTCCTTCTCCTTTAACTTAATGACTCTCTCCAGGCATCTTTGTTAATCAAATGGACACTGACCCTGTGGTCTAGGCTCATGTCAGAGAAACCAGCATCATCTCTCTGCAGATGTTCCTCCTGCTCTGATGAGTAATAAAATGAATGACTAACATTTATCCAGCACTTGCTCTGAGCTAGGCACTGTTCTAAGGCTTTACATATATTAATTCATTTCTTGGGCTTTTGCAAGAGCAGAGAGCTGCACGGAGTTACACAACTTCACAGGAACCACAGAATGGCGCCTATCTTGGCATAGAGACAACTCATTTGATAATTAAGGCAGAAATTAATAGAAATGATAGCTGAAATTTTTAGATAGTTCAACAGCCCTTGATTTATGGTCCTGTTTGAAATTCACTGTGACCAAGTCTCCACAGGTGACACTGGGTACGGACACATTTTATAATATTGTAAGTCAAGGTCATTGATCACTACCTGAGTGGTACTTGATTTCAAGTGTAACCTATGAAATACAGATTCCCAGGCCCCAACTCTAGAGATTCTGATAAAATAGTTTGGGTGTAGGACTCAGGAACCTGCATTTTAAAAAGCTCCTCATAAAATTCTAATACAGGTGGTCCTACAGTCATACTTTAGAAAACCCTGGGTTGCATTTTGGCTTAACTAGGTCTTGGAGACTTGGCCTTGGGAACCTTAACACTGTTTCTAGTCCCAGATCTCACGACCTCCCTGGAACTCAGCTTATTCCTCTGTGCAGCGCAGGGGTTGGAGCAGATGATTTAATGTACTTCCCACCTTTAAGATCCAATAAAGTATTCTATGAAACCATAAGTTTGTTTGCAAGGAAAAGTTATCTCCTTTCCCAGAGTTACAATAACGCAAGAACTGCTCATCTCAGCCGCTGAGTGGCGGTGATCACCTAGAAAGAAGAGAACCCAACAACCCGCCCTCACCTCACTTCTCCTAGACAAGTAATGATAACTTAGGCACCCTGAGCAACCCTGCGCCAGGCACTGCAGTCAGTGCTTTGGGACCACTGTTTCCATCAGCCACATAACCTGAGGAGGTAGGTACTTCACTCATTCTGCAGAGGAGGCCACGGAGGCCTAGAGAGGCTGAGTAACTTACCCCAAATTGCAAAACCACAGCAGTTACGGGCAGGTCCCAGACTCCAAAACAGATCAGATTCAAAGCCCATGCTTTTAGTGACAATAATATTCTGCCTCCTCACTCAGTGGCTTAGGATATGTGTCTTATTCTCAGGGTTTGCCCAGGAATGCTGGTAGCCAAGTCTTCACAGAGACAGGATGTTCGTAGATTTTGCTAAGTCTGGGTGTCCTAACTACCTTTAGATAAATTCTTGTTCCAGACCTGATCAAGTCTCCATTTCTTGGCAAGTGATAGCTGGTTATTAATTCTAACACATCCTTACAAATTATAGAATAACTCTGTTAACAAGAACTCAAATAATCAGAATTCTCAATTAACTAGAAGTTGTTTGGTTGTTTTGTTTTGTGCTATTTCTCTTTCTGAGGAGAAAAAGACAAACAATAGGAAAATGAACCTATATCAGAAACTTAATTTTTTTTTTTGGTGAGGAACGTTAGCCCTGAGCTAACATCTGTGGCCAATCCTCCTCTTTTTGCTGAGGAAGATTGGCCCTGGGTTAATATCTGTGTCCATCTTCCTCTACTTTATATGTGGGACGCCTGCCACAGCATGGCTTGATGAGCAGTGTGTAGATCTGCTCCGGGGATCCTAACCTGTGAACCCCAGGCCGCTGAAGCGGAGCCTGCGAACTTAACCACTACACCACCGGGACGGCCCCCAGAAACTTAATTTTTTAAAATAAAATTCCAGGAGACTTCCTGGGTTAGTAGTGATTCAGATAACTCTCCTGTTTCAGGTTCGACAAATTTGTGGCTAGTGGGTTCCTGATTGCATGGCAGACAACTTTAATGTCAGCTCTTTCTGAGCTCAAAATTTCAGCTCCGTGAGGGCCTGAATCTGCCTCTGTTTTATTCATGACTGTATCGCCAGCTCCTAGAACAGTGCCTAGCATAGACACTCGGAAAATAGTTCCTAAATGATTGAATAAGCTGGATACTACCTTGAAAATTATTCTGTATATGGCAGTAAAGGCAGCTACTTCCAACCAATTGGGGTAGGCTTGAAAGATTCCAACATTTGACTATCTCTGTCTAGATCTTCCATTTATATCTATAGCCTCTCCACAGTGTAAATTAAAGTTTGAAATGTTGGTTGTGAGGATCTGCAAGATTCTTAATCATTCTGTTCAACAAGTATTTAGTGAGCTTCTCCTTGTGTAGAGTTCAATTATATTCACATGTCACTGCAGTGGTTCTCAAAGGGGACGGTGCCACCCCCTGGTGGACATTTTGGAAATCTATGGGGTGTTTCTTGGTTGTCACCATGATTGGAGTGGACAGCCAGATGTGGCAGGAAGTCCTACACAACAAAGAATTGCCCTGAGTGCCATGGAACTTTCCATGTCCCACTGGACATTCATGCAGATGAAAGCCTGTTTATAAGGATCTGAGCTAAAAACCTAACTCCTTTTTACATGTAAACACAAAATATCTTGTGTTTGAGTGTCTTTTGCATTTTTTCAATATCCACTGAATTTTCCAAAAATGCATCTACTGTGTAAATTGAGAGATGTGGACTTGTTTTGT